CCTACTATAAAGGCACTATTATTTTGACCTCTAATGTGGTCGTGTTTCCCCTCTCGGTTGGTGACAATGGTGACGAATTCGCATTGTTCGAATCGGAAAGTGCATTGTGCGACAAGTGTCGGCGTGAGGTTTCACTGTAACATAGGTGTTGTTGTTACACACGGACGACACCACACACGGGGGTGTGGTAATGGTGGGCACCTGGTATATAGTGGTAATGGCTAGTGGGCAATGGGTAATGGAAGGCGGTACCCAACACACCATCTACACACCAATTTGGGTCAAGCCACTGCCAACAGAAACAGCAATAAGCAGCAACACCCCAGTCTCTGCTGCTGTAAGTTGGAAAACAAGTTTTTCTATTCCGTATGTTGACAAATCAAATTCTTTAGGTGTTTTTCTTTTCTGTGTATTTGTATCTATGTAAACGGCGCTAAGCTGAGGATAATATTACTATGTTTCAGAGATCACTGCAGGAGTAGGGGGAGGTATTAATATTAAAAATTAATTAGTTTTTGAATTTTCAAGATCATTGCTTTTTCTATTATGATTATTAAGCATAATTAGAATATACATAAGTTTTTTTATGGAGTCCAAAACTCGATAGAAAAAACGTAAAATTTGAAATTAGTATTTACCTTTCAAATACTTCACGTGTTTTGAATATCGCTGTATACGGGGTCCTTAGCTAGTTGAAGAATGAACTTCTTTCATTAATTTATTATTTTTTATTTTATTTATTATTATTATAATTTTTGCAAAGTGTACACCTTAACGCCATGTGCCGAGGAGGGGCCAAAGGAGAAGGGGTGTAGATAAGCTCGGCAAATGCAAGGAGAACGAGAAATAAAGGCAACGCCAACAAATGGGGAAAAACTAACGTTAGTTGAGTGCAGCGTACGTTTTCTGTGTTTGCCAGTGTGTGTGTGTGTGTGTCTCAGCAACTTGTGGAATGCCATTCCACTAGAAAATGGAACAACAAGAAACATTTATGTTATGTTATGCCTTATGTACTCATGAATGTTTATGTGTATTGTGGCACATGCGTCATTCAGCATGCAGCATGCAGCATGAATCTGTGTGCATGCATGCATGTGTTATTCATAAATTCATGGGACAAAAATAAAGTTGCAATAAAAAAGAGAGACAGGGAAACAAAGAGAGAGAGATAGAGAGACAGAGGCCAGCGCATCCGACTTTTTCATTCATAAAAATTATACAAAAAGAAAGAACAACAAAGAGGAGGGAAGAAAGCAAGAGCAACACGCACGCACACACCCTCGATAAAGCAATGCAAAGTGCTTGTGTGTGTGTGAGTGCATTGAGCGCCACTTTTTTATACGAGAGATAAAAGCTGAACAAAAAGAAGCTAAAAGCACAAAAAATAAAACCAAAATAAATACACGACGGCGCCGACAGTGTTGACTGCGCTGTTTGCGTCGCTGTCACTGCGTGTTGTATTGATTGGATTGGATGTGCATGTGTGTATCTATGGGAGGCATGTGTGCCTGTGTCGGCATGCATGTCTGTGTGGGTGCATTCCTGGCATAAGCACAATAGCGGGCAAAATAATAGATTACCAGAAATAATAATTGGTAAGAAGAAAATATTCAAAATAAATAATATGGTTTTGAGCAACTATTAGTATTATTCATTATTTTTTAGATTTGATTTATTTTATTAAAAATAAAAAAATCGCTACGTTTCTATGAAAGTGCTGCTACTTTACCCCCGACTGTAGATAAAGGTCGCGCATTGATAACAGGAGAACAAAAACTGCAAGAGTGCGTGTTTGCTTATGTGTGTGTTTGTGTGTGGAGAGGTCATTTGCTTAGAATCGGTCACATGTCGGAAGAAACAACAACAACATTACAAAACCAGAGAGCAAGCCAGAAAGGTAAAATTGTTGCACATTCTACTGGTTAATGACTTCTCTCTCTAAAGAGCGAGAGAGAGCACGCGAGAGAGAACAATGCGCTCTGTTCTCTCATTGGATGCAGGCCTAGAACAATAACAAAAACAACAACCACAAAAACGCAACGTCAACGAACTGCAACTTGACATTTATTTGCATACATTGGAGATTTTAGTCTGAAAACGAAACAAAAAGAAATAAACACACCACGAGCCACCACCATCATCAACCATACAGATGTGACGCATGCTCAGCAATTACAGTTAGCCGGCACAACAGTTTGACAGCCACTACAGCATGCTCATATTATATATCGAATTCCAGTGAATCCAAGATCGCAAAAAAAAAAATAATAATAAAAAAAAAAAAATAGCAAACGGTGGCAGAATTGGCGTACCACGTTTTTAAGTTTCGCCTTTCGGTTTCTGGAAAAGCGCAACAGGCCGAGAAATCGCCTGAGAAATGAGTACAGCCATAAACAAACTAGAAATTATATGCAGAACTTGGAATTTTTGATACCCTTTCCTTAGCTTGATTTAAATATGGATTCAGTGCTAAACAACGCACTCATTTATTTAATATTTAAATAATATTTCCCAGTCCAAACTGGCCCAAAATGTGTCAACTTTGGTACGTTACAAACCTCTCCTCAAAAGCTAGGCACCCTTCTTTAATAAGAGTACAAAAAAAGTACAGTGGGTGGGAAATCCCAGAGGGGAGCCGACAGTGGAGGGAAGGAAACGAAAGAAGTGAACTGGGAAGGGCAATACATGTAAATTCCGGAATGTCGGAATGCGTTGATCTTCCGCTTGCTCCTCCTGCCTGCCGCTCTTCTTAGCCCAAAGTAGTAATTTCCTGCAACTCATAGCAGACAGATGGTGTTAAAGATGCCATACCTAGGATTTTTCTATAAAATAGTGGTAAATACTTGGCTGACGATAATATAGTTTATTATGATAAATCAAAGTGTAAACTATGACAAGCTAAAAGCTAGACAGCGCCAAGAAGTAAATCCTAAAAACCAGTTTAAAATCCAGGCAACATCACTTCTCTCAAGAAGAGATGTACATATTTAATCCATCTTGGGTAACCGGAGACGGACGCCATAATTTAAGTTGTTTATGTGTCATATAGATGGCGCCTGGAAGAGTTGTGTTTATTCTTTGAAAGAAATCGACACTCTTTCAACTATAAACCACAGCCTCAGATATGAAGTAAAACATTTGTATGAAGGATAAAATAATAGGAGTTAATTGTAAGATAACAAAGCAAAAATAATTGACAAATTTGAGATGAATTCGCGAAATCATTCCCGCATAAACGTATGTAACTTTCTTCTTGTTCACAGTTTTACATTCAGCGGTTCGATGACGGTTAATTAAGAAGATCATTCATGAAAGAGAGAGCGGAGAGTGTGAGAATCGATGAACTGAAACTGTTAATTAAGAAAAGTGCCAAACATACAAGAGCCAAAAAAAGCAACAACAACAAGAAAAGAAAATGGGAGAAAACAAAATGAGCCCAGCAGCGTCAGCTCCACGAGTCTCCTCACTCTTTGCTTCTCCACTATATTTACTCTCCATTCTCCACTCTCTGCTCTGCTCTCCTTTTTTTGTTTTTTTTTTTGTTTTTGTTTTTGTTGGTGCTTTTCTTGTTGCTATTATTGTTATGGTTGTTGTTTTGAGAAGTTGGCGGCGGCGACTGGAGTGAAATTACTTCCAAGAAATATAAACACGATATTAAATGTGCAACATTCCAGGCGTCGTTTGCCGCCTTTGCCCCTGTTGCGCCTGTCTTCTCTCGTTTCTCTCGTTCTTATTGTTGTTTCCCCGCTCTTATTTCGATTCTCCTCGTCTTTCTTTGGTCCCTGGGAAGATCAACAGCAGCAGCCACAGCAGCAGCAGCAGATCTTCCCGCGTCATGATTGCATTGCCGTTATGACAACACAGGATGTTTATAAACCCTGAATTCGGGGAGTAATATTTTTGCCAAAAATTAAACCAAATGGGAATTCTTTGGCTTGGTTGAGCAAGTAATCAAAAGAAATGTCTGAACTTTTATTTTAAAAATTATAAAATTTTTTCAGGACTGTAATTTTTATGATTTTTTTGGTTCCATTAAATGGGTTTAATTTTTTATTTGTTTTATGAAGAATTAAAAACAAATGCTTGAACTTATGACAGATCATAAGATTGTTAGAGATGAGATAAAGCTTATAAAGAACTGAAAGAAACAACCTTATATTCGAGTTTTAAGCCTTCTGATTTTTAAATGAATATAATGAGTGGATCTTCTTCTCGTTGGGGCTTGAGAGTATATCCCTTAAAAGCTCATAGTTGCGATGGCTCCTCCTATTATCCTGTACTCACGCACTTTTCTTCTCTCGCCCTCCTCTTTGTGCCATGCTATCACTTTGAATGTTACCTTTTTTTGTATCGCTCACACCCACAAAAACCCCACACACACACACACACCATACATAACCCACTAAAGGACAAAATAATAGTTTAATTTTTCTTAATAATTAAAAATATATATTTTATGGATTTTAATGGATAACGTTCCGCCTCTCACGGTAAAATGAATGTGTGTTTTAAAAAGATTATTATTTTGTCCATTAGTTTTATATGTAATATCCAGGAATCTCCCTTTGTCTCTGCAACACTGGACTTTTGCCTAAGGAAATATGCATACATATTACATATAATATATATTATATAGATAGTCCAAACCCAGATCACTCGTACATCTCACGCTCGCTCGCTCAAATCGCTCTTTAGATGTTAGTTGCGCTGCTCTGTTTCTCTCACGAAAATCTCTCTTTAACCGACTGCTTTTTTCTCTCTTTTTATAACTTTATACTTTATTCGCATATTTTTGTTCTTATCAAATTCATTTTCCCATACTTCCGCTTTCCCCCTGTCTATCCTCTTGTTTTTTTGGACAATCAACTATCATTACAACAACTGCCACTATTTACTTACTACCTACTTACTTACTTACATACTACTACTATTTTTGTTTCTTTTGTGTTTGTTTGTTTTTTTTCTTGTTCTTGTGTGTTTTTACGCTATTTTCTTCACAGTGTTACGACATCAAAAATCTTAATAAGCGGCATACCGATGCAAACACGATTCGAAGACATCGAACCGCTACTGAAGCCCTATGGCATCGTCAAACAGTGTGAGGCTATTTCTAGTAAGGATCAAAATACTCAAACAGTACATATAACATTCGAAAATCCTGAGCAGGCGCAAAGGTATATACCCAAAAAAAAAAAAAAAAAAAAAACACTAATCATCTAAGAACTACTACTTACCAATCTACCTTTATCTCTCTCTCTATCTCTCAAACCGAATCTCGGCTTAACACCAGACCCCCCGAACCAATCTCCAAATGATATTTGGGTCTTGGGTCTTGTGTTAAACGCAGATCCGGAACCTATGTATGTGTTATATATATCATCTCTATGTCAAATTTTGGGGGAGCGAGGTCGAGCTGAGCTTTTACATTACATATTATATAATATACACGTGTTTTTTGGGGGTTTTATTTGCATATATATGTATATATATCGGGGTGGATGGGGGTTTGTGTGGCTACCTCTCTTCCCATTGTTTAGTGTTTCATTCAAATCATCCAAATCTTTCCTATCCGCTTCCTGTTTTGTTTATCCCATCCAAATTCGATCGAAGCTTCTAAGGAATTTCCCTTAACTGCAAGCGATCGAAGTTGGAAAGGGTTAATTCCTCATGGAAGCTAAATGTGGAATATATTCCTCAAAACCTAATCAATACTAATCACAAACTCTTCGCCCTTTTGCCCTTGTCTTTTGTTTGTTCCCCGACAGAGCTGCTGGTGGTCTGAACGGTGTCGAGTTCGAGGGCAGCAAGCTGCATGCCGAGCAGCTGGATAAGAATCAGCGGCGCAGCCAGCGCAACCAACGCAACCCGTATCCGGGAATGCCCGGCCCCGGCAGACAGGCGGATTTCCCGCTGCGTATTCTTGTCCAAAGCGAGATGGTGGGCGCCATTATTGGCCGCCAAGGCAGCACCATAAGGACGATCACACAACAGAGCCGTGCTCGGGTCGACGTCCATCGCAAGGAGAATGTGGGCTCGCTGGAGAAATCAATAACGATCTATGGCAATCCAGAGAATTGCACCAATGCCTGCAAGCGCATCCTGGAGGTGATGCAGCAGGAGGCTCTATCCACGAATAAGGGGTAAGTGATTCAAGACAGCTTGATTCGGTTATTATTTCATTAACTTTAACTTTAAATTTGTTCTTCTTTTAGTGAAATTTGCCTAAAGATACTCGCTCACAACAATTTGATTGGACGTATCATTGGCAAATCGGGAAATACCATTAAACGGATCATGCAGGATACCGATACTAAGATCACCGTTAGCTCGATCAATGACATCAACAGCTTCAATTTGGAGCGCATCATTACAGTGAAGGGTCTAATTGAGAATATGTCACGTGCCGAAAATCAAATCAGCACCAAACTCCGCCAGAGCTATGAGAATGATCTACAGGCGATGGCACCGCAGAGCCTCATGTTTCCTGGCCTCCATCCCATGGCAATGATGTCGACACCGGGCAACGGCATGGTCTTTAATACGAGCATGCCGTTCCCCTCGTGTCAAAGCTTTGCCATGTCCAAGACACCGGCCAGCGTTGTGCCGCCAGTTTTTCCAAATGACCTACAGGAGACCACCTATCTCTATATACCGAATAATGCTGTTGGTGCCATTATTGGCACCAAGGGTTCCCACATCCGTAGCATTATGCGCTTTTCGAATGCATCCCTCAAAATCGCTCCTCTCGATGCCGACAAGCCGCTGGACCAACAAACGGAGCGCAAGGTGACGATTGTTGGCACACCGGAGGGTCAGTGGAAGGCGCAGTATATGATTTTCGAGAAGATGCGCGAAGAGGGCTTTATGTGCGGTACAGACGATGTGCGTCTCACTGTCGAGTTACTGGTGGCCAGCTCTCAGGTAAATAAAAGATTATAATATTATATGTATAGTTTTTCCCTCAAATTTCCTCATTTTTCATAACTAATCTGTTTTTTTTTTTTTTTTTTTTTTTTTTTTTTTTTTTTTTTTTTGCTACTTCTAGGTGGGTCGCATTATTGGCAAGGGAGGCCAAAATGTGCGCGAATTGCAGCGGGTAACGGGCAGTGTGATTAAGCTGCCGGAGCATGCTTTGGCACCGCCTTCTGGCGGCGATGAAGAGACACCGGTACACATCATCGGACCATTCTACAGCGTACAGGTGAGCGGTGATGCCTAGCATATGTGTGTGTACACAATATTAACTCGTTTGGTTTTTTACTGCCTTTTTTTTCAGTCTGCACAGCGACGCATCCGTGCCATGATGCTGTCGACAAATCCGCCGCCAGTAACCAAAAAACAGAAAGCTGCCAAAGAACAATTGCAACAACAGCAACAGAGCCTAGCGGGCGCCGCCACCAGTGGGGCCCAACAGCAGCAGCAGCAACAGTCGCCATCATCGCAACAGCAGCAGCCACTGCCGCCGCAATTGCATCATCAGCCTGTGTCATCGGCGTCGTCATCGTCGACGCCGCCTGCACACCATCAGCAGCAGGCGTCGACGGCAGCGACTTCGCATCAGTTGCAACAGCAGCAACCATCGCCGCCGCCTCCTGGCAATGCAACTCCTGCCGCAGCCCAGCAGCAACAGCAGTTGGCGAGCTCACAGCAGTAAGCAGGAGAGGAGATGAGATGAGAGGAGGCACCGCCGCAGCAGCGACAGCGCCAACAATAGCCAAGGCAGGGTTTTCTACGGTTGATACTACCTCCGAACACACACAACACAACCACAATTTACCATCTAAACCATCTAAAAAACCCCCCACAAAAATCAACCACAATTACAATCCCCCCCCCAATATACCCCTCTAAACAATTACAAATAGACGCCACCTTTGTGCTGGCACAGGCGACGACAAAAGTAAGCCAGGCAAAAAGTACCTGGGAACAGCAGGAACAGGAGCATTTAAGGGAACAGGAAGACCCCGTCAGCAAGCGCAGAAGCTGTACTAGGTCATAGCAAAAGAAGAGCCACACAACACACACACAGCAGGAATAACAACAACAATAACAACATCCTTCATTTGCATGCTAAGAAATAAAGAGAAAACGTTAAATTGAAAAAGCGCTAAAGCTAAATCTAAATTGTTCACCAAAAAGCCACCAACCACCACCAGCACCCATAACAAAAACAAAAACAAAAACAACGCAGCTTTGTGTTGTTGTTCTCCACTTTTCCATATGCGCTCCCCTTCGCTATTTGTTATGTCAACTTTTGTGGCACCGCCCAAATAGTTTTCTTTTACCCTCGATTTCCCCCCACTATCCCCGATCCCTTGAGATAATCAGAATTTTCAACAACAAGAACAACAACAGCAGCAGAAGCACAAAATAACTAGAGAGAAAACCCCACGAATGGAAATGGAAAGATAAAGAAGGAACCTTTAGAAGTGTATGCGTTATATTTTTTTTTAAATATATTTAAATATATAAAACGTTTTATTTTAATTACTTTTTTTTAACAAAGATTTATTAAGAGCCTATATATTTAAGTAGAACTTCGTGACGCAAAGTAAAGTGAAGAAGAAAGAGCAAGGAATCAGGCAAAAGAAAATAAGAATCGTTTGTTTGGACCAATTATAACACGAACAACAAGAACAACAACAAATTTTACACAAATTCAAAAGCCAGAGGCACACACACACACATCCCCATCCACTGCAAAACAATGACAGGAAAGCAAACATGCTCTAGTTGGGAGTTATATCCTCGTAGTAGGACAGGTAAGACAGGAAAGTTCAGTTATGTGCACAATGTGCAGCAGTTGATGCAACTGTTGGCCCAAAAACCATTCGCTGTTATACCAAGTATAACACAGACCTCAATCCCCCAGACCCAAAATCCAAGCCTAAGCCACCAAAAAAAAAGAACTATATACTACACAACAATCTATGTATACAATATCGTTAAGAGCTGATTGATTAGCGACTGACTAGGGATGGATAGGGAATAAGGATGTTGGCCAGCGAGAGCAATGTTTACTGTAACTGTACAGATGTAAAATAGTTTTGTCGATGCCTGGAAGAGTTGTTTTGTGTTGTGTATTGATATACCCAGTTTAACTTCTTTTTGTCGCTAAGGGGGAAGCGTTACGAGAATTGTTGATTATACTTAGTCCGAAGAATCGGAAAATTGCATGAGAAGAGAGAGCGCAGACGCTACAACAGCCGAAGCGAAAGCGAGAGGATAGTGTTAACGAAACTATTGTAATGTGTTTGCCTTGAAATGAAAACAAAAGAAAAAAACAAAACAAAACCTAAAAACTAACTAGAAATGAAATGACGGTGCTGAAATGTTAATTTTTTTTAAAGGACGTTACGTTACGTTAAGTGTTACGTTATAACGTTTGAGACGCGTATGAGAGACAAGCTGTTATACATGGATGGGACACTACAAAAATACATCAGCCAATCTGAAATTCGAAGAACCGATAGACCCAGATCAAAATCCAAGCCCGTAAGAAAATGCATTTCCTAGGGGGAACGTAGAATATAGTAGAACCCAATGACAGTATGACAGTATAACAGTATGACCAAAACCCAACCCAAGTAACTGAATCGGAGCAACAAACAATCAAACTACAATCTTAAAACCAAGCCAAAACAAGCAACAATAGCAATAGCCCGGTTTTGTGTTGTTTTGAAGCATTTACTACGCCTATTAATTAATTAATAACTACCTAACTAACGATCTTTTTTTGTATGTAACGTAAATATATAAAAGTGCTTACTAGATATTCCATAGAATTAATGTTACGCAGTAGATCCCTCCACAATACTCCCCAGCGATCCAACCCTTTTGTTTGTATAACACTTGCATCGGAGACAAACGGAATGAACTGTTATATTCAGGCATATAAATCAAGGAAAAATCAACATTTCGGCAAACAAAAAAAAATCATCAAGAAGCAAAATTAAAAACTTTTAAGCGGCACATTATTTTGGAAGAAATGACATGAAAGAAAGAAAAATCTACATTTTTGGACGAAAGGAAAAACATTTAGCCAGCAAGCAGCGTGTACAAGCTCTAGGGCAGCCCAATTTTTTAAAATATCACACTTTCTTTGGTCTTTTTTTAAGAAGAATCTAAATAAAACCAGAAAAAGCAGAAGCAAACAAGTTGAAGAACTTTGAAGAAGATTGAAAAAGTAATTAAAATACCTCAATGTAAGTGCATTATCTTCTACAAAAAAAAACACAACTAAGAACTAAAAACTAAAACTAAAAAAAAAAACAAAAACAAAAACAAACAAATGCAAACAAAAACTCAAAACCAAACTTACGAAGCGTAACAATGAATAAAAATGCTAAACAAAAACAAATATCCTAATGAAAACCCATACTAATATTGAAAACCTAGTTGTAAGCAAACACAAATAACAGAAAAAATGAAAAACTAATGAATGCAACTAAGAAAACGAAGTAAACCCGAACAGAACCTGAGTTAAAAGTCAGCCAAACAAAGAAACAGACTAACTGGAAAAGTCATATCACCAGATAACAGAAGAATCGCGATTGAGACGACGAGTCTTCTAAGTGTGGCGAATCTTTTCCCAAAGGTTTCTCAGAGCCAAACAAAAAAAAAACACACAAAAACGAAAAAGAAACCCCCAATCCGAACTCAATCCAAATTAAAATCAAATCAATTAAACAATCAATCAATCACTCACCCACCAAAGCCCTACGCGAAATAGTTTTGGCTCGAACTCCCCACCCAGAGATCAGAGATATATATCTACATATTTGTACCATACCAACTGAAGAATCAACTAGGGACTCAGCAGGGGGGATGGATGTAGGATGTAGGATGTAGGAGGCAGCAGGAGGAACCGAAGAGGAGGGAATGGGAGGGGTGGAAGTGTATATAAGAATGTTGCTAGGCATTAACATTTGATCTAAATGCGTGACATTTTGTTTTGTTATACTTGAGAATCTATATATGTATATCTATATATATATGTATACAAATCTAAACAATTTCGTCTCCTTTTTTTTAAATAACAATTAACGAATACCAATTCTTATTAATTAGTATATATATAAATATATATATATATTTTTTTTTTGTAATTTTCTACATGGAAAAATGTCCAAAGTTGTCAATGCAAAGACCTATATACATATATATAGATATATATAGATATATGTGGATGATCTATGATTAAATACGATATTTATAAAGAACGAACGGAACGGATTGGAATTTTTCTAAAAGATTCCAAAACATTGAATGAAAGAACAAAGAAATGAAAATTATTATTCCAAATGCTGAATCAAAGAAAAGTCAGATCGACGAGAGACGAGACGAGATGAGTTAATAATTTAGCTATAGCTCTGGTTTATTTTGATGGGGGTTATTAAACATCATAAACATAATATAACAAAAATATAAAGAATGAAACAAACAAAAAAAAAACAAAAAACAACTGAAAACTTGTGAGTTAGCGTGCGCGTTGAAAACGAAGACAAAGATAAGAATAAAGATAATGGTAACGATAACGATAATGATAATGATGTAGAAAGAAAACTCAAGAACGACGAGGGCGATTGTGAGGAAAGTGAAAAGCAGAAACGAAATTATTTTTTAGTATTTAGAGGCTATTTTATATCGTTATTAAAGCAGGTAGGAAGGAAAGTGAGGCAACGGTTAGGCAGAACCAGAACGGATGATGGATGATACCAGGCAGTAAAAGCTAAAAAAAAAAAAAAAAAGAAAGGCGGTTTAGCAAGGGATAATTCGATTTTAACTAAAATGGAAAAACGATACCAAGCAACATTTCCAGAAAATCGGAAGAAGTGACTTGTATCAGTATCTGAATTTCTTAATTTCTGACATGTCACATCGTGTTCATGAGTTTTGTACAGTTTTTCCTGTCGAAAATCGTCCAACAAAGAGTTAAAATTTAATTGTCCCGTTGGGGAAACGAAAAAAAAAGAGGGAAATGAGAAAAAGAATAATGAGAAAAAGTACTTTTTTGTGTTGTAAGTTGTGCCAAGTACTGATAACGTTTAAGGTGTGATAAACTCGTTTTTAAATTTAACAACTATTTAAACTATAAAAAAAACTAATTACTAAAACAAAAACAAAAAAAATTAAAATTTATACAAAAAAAAAACTATTATTATTTAAAACGACGACAAAAATGCTTTTGATGTACATTTTATACACAAACACAACATTACCCAGACACAACACACACACAGAAATCAACCCACAAAAGTACTTTGACAGAAAACCGGAGGAAAACGAAAAAACCCCTAAATAACATCAGTTTAGAACACACAAAAAACTAACAACAAGAAAAAAATTTGCTTTGCTACCAGAAAGAATTCAAAAGGTTTTTGATTTAACTTTTTTTAAATTTTTATACCTATATAATTTAACATAAAACGAAGACAAACAAGTTTGTACTCTTTAAAAGTGAAATGAAATGAAACGAAACGAAAAGGTAAATCGATGTCGATGAAAAAAAAGATACAACTCTTAACACAAGCATAAAGAATGTAATGAATGAGTTAGGAAAGAGAACTTTTTTAAAAAGGCATATTTTTTTATATATGTACATATATATAAATATTTACAAAGGAGAAACTAAGCGAAAGAAAGGGAAAAACGTTTTTAGCGGTACAAACATGAGTACAAATCAAGTTTTATTATATTATTATTTTTTTTTCGTATGTTTTCGTCTATTATGAGAAGGGATTTTTAACCTATTGAAAGGAAGGAGTTTTCTTAAGGCATATACACAGAAAAAAAAAAAAAACAAAAAACTAAAACGGAAAACTGAGGTTTGTTTTTTTAATTGTTAGGCACTTAAAAGTTGGATAGAGACAGTAGAAAGCCAGACAGAGAAGGAGGGAGAGATAGCAACAGTTGATAAATGAGACATTCTTTTACGATAGGGATAGCGATAGACGATAACGATATAACGCGAGTTTAAACGTAAGCTTGACAGCAACAACAGCTAAAGAAAAACAACTAGAGAACCGTTAGCCACGCAGAAAAGGAAAGGGACATGAAAAAAGAACGATGAAGCAGAGCAAATAGCCCAAAAAGCCAAGCCGCCACTCACACAGTGAAAATGATGAAATATAATGATATAAGCAAGTGACTAAAACTAAAACTTAAACTAAACCTAAAGCTAAATCTAAAGCAAAGACCTAAAGCTAAACAAGAGATTTAATTACTATAGTGTTAGACATGAGCGATGTCCGATAAAACAGCACTAAATTAATCGATACAAATTGGGGGGTTAATTATTTTTTAGTTTCAAAAAGAAATTAGGACGCAAAATCAGCCAGCAGATCATCCAGAGCAGTCAGAAAATAAGTCGACAAAAAAGAAAAACAAAAGCAGGAAAAAATTAAAAACCACTCTGAAAGACGACACAAAAACCAAACAAAACTTGAAACAAAACAAAAGCAAAACGCATGGAAAAGAACACAGCGGAACAGCATGGAATTGCATGCGATCTGAGTCTAAACAAAAACAAAGGCGAATTGAAAATATAAAAGAAAAAAGTCAAAATAAAACCGAAACTGAACATACAAATTTTCAAGAAGAAAACATGAACTTCAGAACATGAAATAAAACTTTCAAAACATTTACTATATATTTTTAGCATTTAAGCATTAAGCATCCAAAATAAAAAATGGAATAAATAAAAACCAATTGTGTCAGCCGTAAGAAAAATGTACTACAAACACACACAACAACACTTAAAAAAACAACAAAAGAAAAACAAAAAAAAAATCTAAAATCTAACAAAATGAAACCACAAAAAAAAAAAAAAGAAACAAGCTATATAACAAAATCGAAACGAGAACTTTAAAAATATTACTACTAAAAACAACAACACAATAACAACAAGAAAAAAATCCAAAGTTTTGAGTACACACCACACACGCATATACAAACACACACTAAATTCTCTATGTAAAGTTCGATATAAAAAGAAGCCCCCTATTCGTAATGTAAATGTATAACGAAAACAGTAACAATAGCAACCACAAGATCTTATCCAAAATTTATTAAATACGATATATAGGCAACGCGTTGAAACGAAACGAAATGGAACAAATGAAACGAAACGAAACGAAGAACGCGCGGATAGGAAGGAGAAAAAAGGATACGAAATGACCCCCAAAACCCCTGAGCTTTGTTTGTTTGTTTTTGTACATTTCAAGCATTTTGAATATATATATACCGGTATACATATATATAACTATATGTATATATATAAATATATATTTAATAGTCTTTATTTAATATTATTCATATATATATTAAAATATTACGTATATTTTTTTATTGTTTCGATTTGTAATAAATTATACACGGTAATCAACTGGAGACTGAGCTACAACATATATTTAGTTACCGTTATATTTATTGCAAAGACACCACACCAACACACCCACCACACATGCGAAAACACACCATACTCACCAAACACACCATACATACAGCATTTCGGCTATCCCAACTACAACAACGCTAATTAACTAAAAACTAACAACTAAACCCTAAAACTAAACGATAAAACAATAATCTGTAAAGCATACATAAGCATAATACATAAAGTATAGATCGGATAAACCTAGAAGGCAGCCTGTGTAGAAGTAGAAGAGGGTTTATTGCATTTTTGTTTGGCATCTTTGAAACGATTTCCAATTGATGTTGTACCCCAAAAGTGGGAATATACCTACGATTCCCACGATTATTTACTTTGATTATTTTTATTAATTTTTTGTTGTGTATTTCATATTGCCACCGCCACCCCCCTGCACCCTCCAGCGCCCCATGCCCCGTCCTATTATACTCATCCTTCATCCCCCCTCGATGTCCCATTTCACCGCCATCCAGCGCCTGGTTTGCCTGTGTGATAGTAGTTTATAATTAAAGCCATCCGCTGGACACCACACCCACTCACCCTGCGCTCCCCAATATATCCCTCACCCTCATCCCTCACTATAATTTTTTGGAAATTTTTGAATGGCGAGCAAACTATATAGAAACCACTTTAAACACTTTAATAATAAATAATAAAAAAAAACCTAAAATAAATCTTAAAAGAGAAAAACCAACTAAAGTTGAAGAGGAAAATTTACAAAAGAAAACAAAACAAACGAAAAAGAAAAAAAAAACAAAAAAATACAACTATTTTTACATTAATTATTTTTAAATTTACCTTTATCTTTACCTAAATTAGTTTAGAGCTTTTTTTTTGCGTCGTCTACTTTTTACACGTTAAGTTCATTTAATCTACGCATAATCTTCATGAGGATGATGATGTGACGACACAGGATGTATCTACATTGTACATTGTATCTACATTACAGAGCTAAAATATCTATAAATATTATAAATATAACAAAAAAAGAGTAAAATATTATTAAAAAACCACAAAAAAAAACCCACAAACTATTATTTACCATTTTGTTTTTATTTACTTCCGTTGTAGTTCAGCATTTTTGATTTTCAGTTGTTATCCTTCGACTCTCCGACGTCCCGATGTTCCGATAAGTTTCCAGCGTTCCGATACACCGATCGTTTCGCGAGGCTTTCGATGTTGTCCTTTGTACCAAGCTAAAAAGTAAAACCCCCAGTAAGCCCCACTCCAACACTCGTCTAAATTATGAATTTAATGTGAATATGTGAGCAAGGTAATATGAGTCGTCAGATATGAGTACATAGATGTGTATACCTAACTAAACTACAGCGTATTTATGGAGTAACATAACCTAACGTAAACTAAAGTAAAGAATAAATGGATGAAATAACTACCTCAGCTTTGAATATTTCTATAGAAATGTTATTAAATGTATTTGAAAGGCGTAAGAAATATACAGACAGCATAAATGCGAGACGAGACACGACTTGGGATGCCGCCAGATGGAAAATAATGTCAAAGGAATACAAGTTTTAGAGCTGCATTTATATATAGTATCAGATCGATAAGAAGACATACACTACTGGCCGAAATAATAAGTACATGCGTATGTGGTTTGTTTCAAGTCCTATAAAATTTGTTTGATAAACTTAAGAAAAAAACCCACTTTATTTTTAGTTTCCGTACTTATTCCAGATAATAAAAATAACTGCCTAAAGGTTTTTACATTTCAAATTTAGAGACAGGGGTCAATTTTATCCAAAAAGCATGAAAATGGGCTGGCCGAAATAATAAGTACACCCATTCTTCTAAGTCTAGAACTCGGAACGTATTAAATATTTTTCACTTCTTTCTACTTATAAGTAAACTTAGATTAGTATCCAATAAAACCACACTCGTTTTAGGTAACTTTCGCTATTATTTTTGGCATTCTAGTAGGAAGTCTGTGGCAAGTCAGTACTAGAAGCTGAGACCAGGTTTCTTTAGCAAATCTTCACAAATCTTCAACATTTTAAAATGTTTTGATTACAATTCGACGTTTTAAGTTTCCCCATAAATTTTTAATTAGGTATGAGTTCGGAAACTGACTTTTCCAA